GAGCGATATAGCTGCAATAAAAAACACCATTGAAAGCATCAACAGTAGACTAGGAGAAGCGGAGGACCGAATTAGTGAATTAGAAGACAAGGAAGCAAAACACACCCAAACTGTACTGCAATTGGAGAAAAAAATTAAAAGACAGGAGGAGAGCCTAAGGGAGCTTTGGGACAACATGAAACGAAACAACATACGAATAATAGGGGTGCCAGAACAACAGAAAGATGAACAAGGATTAGAAAACCTACTCGAAGAAATAATATCAGAAAACTTCCCTGAGGTGGGGAAGAAAAAAGTCACACAAGCACAGAGAGTCCCAAACAAGGTGAACCCGAAAAGACCCACACCAAGACACATCATAATTACCATGGCAAATGTTCAGGACAAAGAGAGAATCTTACAGGCTGCAAGAGAGAGACGGAAAGTTACATACAAGGGATCTCCCATTAGATTATCAAATGATTTCTCAACAGAAACACATCAGGCCAGAAAAGAATGGACAGAAATTTACAAAGTGATGCAAAGCAAAGGACTGAACCCAAGAATACTCTATCCAGCAAGGCTATCATTCAAAATTGAAGGGGAAATAAGAAGCTTCACAGACAAAAAAAGGCTAAGGGAGTTTATCACCACCAAGCCAGCAATGCAAGAAATGCTAAAGGGACTGGTGTAAAAAGAAGGAATAAAAAGCTCAGAAAGAAAACAGCCACACAAAAAAAGAAATGGCTACAAACAAGTACCTTTCAATAATAACTTTAAACGTAAACGGACTAAATGCTCCAACCAAAAGACATCGAGTGGCTGAATGGATAAAAAAACATGACCCATACATCTGCTGTCTACAAGAGACCCACCTCATTAGAAGGGACTCACACAGACTGAAAGTGAAGGGATGGAAAAATATCTTTCAGGCAAATGGAAAGGAAAAGAAAGCTGGGGTAGCAATACTTATATCAGACAAAATAGACCTCAAAGTGAAGGCCATAACAAGAGATAAGGAAGGCCACTTCATAATACTAAAGGGATCAATACAACAAGAAGATATAACCCTGGTAAACATATATGCACCCAATGCAGGAGCACCCAAATACATAAAAAAACTCCTGGAAGATATCAAAGGAGAGATCGACAACAATACAATCATAGTAGGGGACTTTAATACACCACTGACATCACTGGATAAGTCCTCTAGACAAACAATCAGCAAAGAAACAGCAATCCTAAATGACTCACTAGATCAGATGGACTTAATAGACATCTTCAGAACACTTCACCCAAAGCCGCGGAATATACATTCCACTCAAGTGCTCATGGGACAGATTCAAAAATAGACCACATATTGGGTCACAAGCAAAGTCTCCCCAAATTCAAGAAGATTGAAATCATAAAAAGCATCTTCTCAGACCACGATGGCATAATATTAGAAATAAACTACAATAAAAACAACCCAAAATACTCAAACACTTGGAAGCTGAATAGCATGTTATTAAATATTGATTGGGTTACCAATGAGATCAAAGAAGAAATTAAAAACATCCTGGAAACTAATGACAATGAAAACACAACAATCCAAAACCTATGGGACACAATGAAAGCAGTCCTGAGAGGGAAGTTTATAGCTCTACAGGCCTATCTCAAAAAACAAGAAAAAATGGTAGTAAATCATCTAACTCTTCAACTCAAAGAATTAGAAAGAGAGCAACAAGAAAACCCCAGAGTGAGCAGAAGGAAGGAGATAATAAAGATTAGAGCAGAAATAAATGACATAGAGACCAAAAAAACAATACAGAAAATCAATGAAACCAAGAGCTGGTTCTTTGAAAGGATAAACAAGATTGACAAACCTCTAGCCAGGCTCACCAAGAAGCAAAGAGAGAGGACCCAAATAAACAAAATCAGAAATGATAGAGGCAAAATAACAACAGACCCCACAAAAATACAAATGATTGTTAAAAAATACTATGGACAGCTCTACTCCAACAAACTAGACAACCTGGAGGAAATGGACAAATTCCTAGAAAAATACAACATTCCAGCACTCAATCAGGAAGAATCTAAAAATCTCAATAGGCCAATAACTATGGAAGAAATTGAAGCAGTCATCAAAAAGCTTCCAGCAAACAAAAGCCCAGGACCAGACGGCTTCACAGGGGAGTTTTACCAAACATTCAAGGAAGAACTAAAACCTATCCTCCTCAGACTACTACAAAAAATTCAAGAGGAAGGAACACTTCCAAGCTCATTCTATGAAGCCAGCATCACCCTAATACCAAAACCAGGTAAAGACAACACAATGAAAGAGAATTACAGGCCAATATCCCTCATGAACATAGATGCCAAAATCCTCAACAAAATCTTAGCAAATCGGATCCAGCAGTACATCAGAAAGATCATACACCATGACCAAGTAGGATTTATTCCAGGGATGCAAGGATGGTACAATATCCGCAAATCAATAAACGTGATACATCACATAAACAAATTGAAAGAAAAAAACCACATGGTCATATCAATTGATGCAGAAAAAGCATTTGACAAAATCCAACACCCATTTTTGATAAAAACTCTCAGCAAGGTGGGAGTAGAAGGATCATACCTCAACATAATAAAAGCCATATATGACAGGCCCACAGCCAACATCATACTCAATGGACAAAAACTAACACCATTTCCCCTAAGAACAGGAACAAGACAGGGATGCCCACTCTCACCACTCCTGTTCAACATAGTACTGGAAGTATTAGCCATTGCAATTAGGCAAGAAGAAGAAATAAAAGGCATCCAAATTGGAAAAGAGGAAGTAAAACTGTCCTTATTTGCAGATGACATGATATTATACATACAAAACCCTAGAGACTCCATCAAAAAGCTACTAGACTTAATACATGAATTTGGCAATGTAGCAGGATACAAAATTAACCCCAAGAAATCTGAGGCATTTCTATACACCAATAGTGAACTTTCAGAAAGAGAGATTATAAAAACAATCCCATTTACCATCGCACCAAAAAAATTAAGATACCTAGGAATAAACTTAACTAAAGAGGTAAAAGACCTCTACTCAGAAAACTACAGGACGTTAAAAAAAGAGATAGAGGAAGACATAAACAGATGGAAGAACATACCGTGTTCATGGATTGGTAGAATCAACATCATTAAAATGTCCATACTACCCAAAGCAATCTATAAATTCAACGCACTTCCCATTAAAATACCAACGGCATACTTCACAGATCTAGAACGAACTCTCCAAAAATTCATCTGGAATAAAAAAAGACCCCGAATAGCTGCAGCAATCCTGAGAAAGAAGAAAATAGGTGGGATCTCAATACCAGATATCAAGATGTATTACAAAGCCACTGTTCTCAAAACTGCCTGGTACTGGCACAAGAACAGGCATATAGATCAATGGAATAGAATAGAGAACCCAGAAATCGGCCCGAACCAATATGCTCAATTAATATTTGACAAAGGAGGAAAGAACATTCAATGGAGCCAAGATAGTCTCTTCAATAAGTGGTGTTGGGAAAATTGGACAGATATATGCAAGAAAATGAAACTAGACCACCAACTTACACCATACACAAAAATAAACTCAAAATGGATAAAGGACTTAAATGTACGACAGGAAACCATAAAAATTCTAGAAGAATCCAAAGGCAACAAAATCTCAGACATATGCCAAAGCAATTTCTTCACTGATACAGCTCCTAGGGCAGTTGAAACTAAAGAGAAAATGAACAAATGGGACTACATCAAAATAAAAAGCTTCTGCACAGCAAAAGAAACCATCAACAAAACAACAAGAAAACCCACTGCGTGGGAAAACATATTTGCCAATGTCATATCTGATAAGGGCCTAATCTCCAAAATTTATAGGGAACTCATACAACTTAACAAAAGGAAGATAAACAATCCAATCAAAAAATGGGCAAAGGACCTAAATAGACACCTTTCAAAAGAGGACATTCAGAAAGCCAAGAGACATATGAAAACATGCTCAAAGTCACTAATCATCCGAGAGATGCAAATCAAAACAACAATGAGGTACCATCTCACACCTGTCAGAATGGCTATCATCAACAAATCAACAAACGACAAGTGCTGGAGAGGATGTGGAGAAAAAGGAACACTTGTGCACTGCTGGTGGGAATGCAGACTGGTGCAGCCACTATGGAAGACAGTATGGAGTTTCCTCAAAAAACTGGAAATGGAACTCCCATTTGACCCTGTGATCCCAGAACATTAAAAAAATGATAGTATGAAAACTGTATAAATCAAATTCTTCTCTCCTAGGTATTTTTGTTGTTGACGCTTGTTGCAGCTGCCTTTTGTTTATTTCATGACTTTTGTGCACTCATTCTGCAAGTCTGTATTCTTTGTTGTGCGTGGCCACAGACATCTTTTATCTCTTTGTTTAGTGATCAGCTAAAGATTGAACGGAACTTTTAAAAAATGGAATCAAAAAGTATTTCCCAGTCTTTGCTGTAGGCCTCTGTGTGCATGTTGGAGCATGCCTTCAACACTCAGCCAGTTTTACAGCTGTGCCCTTCACTTCCTGCTTGTGCGGAGCCTCAAGGTCATACAGAGCTTAAGCTTAGGATCTTCTCATGTTTTTCCTGAGCATGCACACACTGGCACACTGCCCTGGGTATGCATGTGACTTTTGTCTAGGTAGAAAATGTTGGTAGCTTCGATGAGGCTTTGGTGATAGAGAGGAAAAATCTAGGCAGCCTTGAGGTAGAATTAACTAACTATAAAATATACAGATAGGCACATATATTATCTTAAAAGAGAATTTAAAAAATTCTAATAGTGAATAATTTAACCTCTTAAAACCTACATGAGAGATTATCAATATTTCCTTGTTGAATTGCTTTGCTTCAAACTTTGTAATAAATTTATATTTGACTAAGACATTTGATCTGTCTATTCAGAAAAGCAAACTGTAAAAGGAAGTTACTATAAATCTTTTTGTAACAAGCAATTTTTCTTCCTAGTGGATATTTTGACATATGTGGTCTGGAAGCTAAGTGGCTTACCTGCCACTCGTATAATTGGAAGTGGTTGTAATCTAGACTCTGCCCGTTTCCGTTACCTGATTGGAGAGAAGTTGGGTGTCCATCCCACTAGCTGCCACGGTTGGATTATTGGAGAACATGGTGATTCTAGTGGTAAGTATAAACCCATTTTCATTATGTAATCACACTTATCTATAATGATGCTTTATTTTCTTTAAAGTCTATTTTTTGTGATATTAATATAGCTGTGTAACTTTTGTTTTATTGGTATTTTCCTGGTGTACACTATCTTTTTTGATTTCTTTATTTTCAGCTTTTTGCATCATGGATTTAGTTACCACTCATTAAATTGTGCATAGAGCATATAACTATTTTAAAAGTCAGTGAATGTTTCTCTTATCTGGAGCACTTTCATTTATTGTTATTTTTTAAACATTACAAAGGTACAATACTGGTTTTTAGTATATTCACCGAGTTGTGCAGTCATGACCACAATCTAGTTATAGAACATTTTCATCACCCCAGAAAGAAACTTGCTCCTGAACTCACTCCCCCAGCCCCACGCAAACACTAATTTACTTTCTGACTCTGTAGCTTTGTTTATTCCAGACTTTTCATTTAAATAAATTTATATAATTTGTGTTTAAACTGTTACTTAGGCCATACCAATCTTTTTCTTTTCTGAACTTAAACATTTAAGCTCTGCAGCACAATTAGAACTTTATACTTCTTACAGTGTTCTCTAATTGTATCATGTTTGAATCTTCTTTCCACAGTGGCAGTAAACCCATTAAGAATAAGGACCATTGATTCAGTTATTTATTTGTTTAGTCAAAACATTTAATAAGTCCTTCTTGTCTGTTGTGTTTTTTAAAAAAAATATATTTTATTGATTTTTTACAGAGAGGGAGGGAGAGGGATAGAGAGCTAGAAACATCGATGAGAGAGAAACATCGATCAGCCGCCTCCTGCGCACCTCCTACTGGGGATGTGCCCGCAACCAAGGTACATGCCCTTGACCTGAATCGAACCTGGGACCTTTCAGTCTGCAGGCCGACGCTCTGTCCACTGAGCCAAACCGGTTAGGGCTTGTCTGTTGTTGTTGTTTTTACTCCAAATGTCATCCTATATAATAAAAGCCTAATATGCTAAGTGTCCAACTGTTTGTTCTACCGTTCAACCAGTCGCTGTGATGCGCACTGACCACCAGGGGGCAGACGCTCCGACCGGTAGGTTAGCTTGCTGCTGGGGTCCGACTGAACGGGATTGGGTGAGACAGGCCGACACGCTCTGGAGCCCTCCCACGGTCCTTCACCAGCCCCAATCATGCACTGGTGGGGACCCTCAGCCAGGCCTGCAGGGATCAGGCCGAAACTGGTTCTCCAACATCCCCGGAGGGGTCCCGGATTGTGAGAGGGTGCAGTATTATAACAAATACGTTTGATTTGACTTAGACAAATACTTAATTTGACCTATTGGTTTGTGTTACTGTACTAATTCAGCTCTTCCTCCTGGAAGTCATTAAAAATAAAATTTCCTAGTTATGTTTTTATTTCTCACTTTTAATATTACATTATTTTATTTGAAAACGAAGCAGTGTATTTTTAAAAATATATATTTTTATTTATTTTTAAATTGATTTTTAGAGAGACAGGAAGAGAGAGGCAGATAGAGATAGAAACATCAATTAGCTGCCTCCTGCATGCCTCCTACCGGGGACCAAGCCTGCAACTGGGGAGTGTGCCCTGACGGGAATCGAACCAGCAACCTCTTGATGCATAGGTTGATGCTCAACCACTGAGCCACACTGGTTGGGCAACATTTTTTATTTATTGACTTGAGAGAGAGACAGAGAGACATATTAGATCGAGAGATTTGTTGTCCCACTTATTTATGCATTCTTTTGTTGATTCTTATATTTGGCCTGACTGGGGATTAAACCTACAACCTTGGTATATCAGGATGATGCTCTAACTATGCTATTTGGCCAGGTTAGCTTCACCTCATTCTTTAATTGGATATGAGATTCTAGATTGACAGTAGTTCCCCCTCAGCTCTTTGTTACTGTTGAGAAGTTTGGTGTTAATTTGTTGCTCTTTTCCTGTTTTGCTTGTAATATTTTATCTTTTTAACCATCCTTTTCTTTGTGGATTCTGTACTTGTACCTTGCTTTAAAATACCTCCTATGTCACATAGTTATAAATAAATTCTACTACATATTTTTCTAACGCATAATTTTATTTTTTACATTTCCCTTTTTGGCCATTTGAAACTTATTTTTATTATATGGTATAAGGTAGTAATCTAAGTTTATAAAAAATTACTAAAACAACTGAAGCAGTGCTAGGAAGAAGAGTTCATTCTGAGATACATTTCTTTTTAGTGCCCTTATGGAGTGGGGTGAATGTCGCTGGTGTTGCTCTGAAGACTCTAAACCCTAACTTAGGAACTGATTCAGACAAGGACCAATGGAAAAATATCCATAGAGAAGTTGTTCAGAGGTAAAGTACTCACTAAGTTTCTTAAAGCATTAATAATCAGTAGTAAGAACAAATGTCACAGAAAAAAATATAGTTGATCTTTGAGTTTTGTGTGGTAAATGATTCTAATCTTATGCAAATCCTTGAATTCAGACTTATATTACCCATTGCTTTATTTGGGGGCATTTTCACAAAGCAAATATGCATTACAAGAACTCATATGTGTTTGAGGGTAATTTAGCAAGTAATTATGAGCACTTTGGAACCAGCTTTCCTAGATTTGAAACCTGACTTCACCATTTATTAAGTAGTGTGATATTGCCAAGTTATTTAAAATTTCAGAAGCTCAGTTTCCAAGTTTTTAAAATGGGGATAATAATAGAGCTCACTTTAGAGGGCTGTTATGAAGAGTAAATGAGTTAATACACATAAAATGCTTAGAATAGCACCTAGAACTTGGATTCATCAAATGACTTGATGAAAAAAACAACACAAAGCCGATGCAGATGATCAGAAGTCAACTGGGTGTATTTATAAATGAAGTGTCTGACTCTGTAAATCAGCTCTAACAGCCCACATGATTCCCTTTATGCTTTAGCCAAGTCACATATTAGTAAAAGTTACACAATCTAAAAATCACTTCTGGATATTCTAAACTGGAATATTAAATTTATAAAAGCTCAAGTGTAATGTATATTTAGGATGTCAACTCTACAAAAATGTATAATAATTAGGGCAGAGACTAAAAAGGTACACAATATAGCAACAGTGATTATGGGCAAGTTTTTATTTTTTAAATGCCTTTTAGTTTAAAAAAATAATTTTCTGATCATAAAATCACATGATCACCTTAATCCATACAGAGTTTCAATTGGGAAGATGACAAAGTTCTGGATAAGATGGTGGTAATAGTTATACAACAGTGTTTATGTACTTAACTAGTAGCCCATCGTGCGATATCATGTGCAGTAGACCACCCACCACTTACACGGGAGTCTGCGGGAACCGCAGGGAGCCGCACTGCTTCCATGGGAGCCGCATACATTCCGCGGGAGGTGGGAGGGAGCCGTGCTGCTTCCGCGGGAGGCAGGCCCGCCATCTCCTCTCTGGGCCTGCCCTCGGCCGCGGAGGCTGCAGGCCGGCCCCCTGTCCCTGTCTGTGTCCACTCCGGCTCCAGGGGGCCGGCCTGAGCCGGGCACAGCGACAAAGCAAGAATTCTGCCAGGCTGCTCATGCTGCCCGCTCTCAGTGGCCGCCCCCGCTTCCCCGGGACTGGGGGACTCTGGTGGGGCTGAGAGGACTGGGCACCACCATCTTTGTCATGGAGTGACAGTTAATTTGCATATTACCCTTTTATTAGATAGCATACCAATGAACTGTATACTCAAAATGGTTAAAATGGCCAATTTTACCACTGTTTAAAAAAGAAAATAAAGTACATGGCTATACATAGTGTTTTGAAGTTCAGACTGTCAAGTTAATGAAGCATAATAAGCTTTAACCTAGCATTAAGTTTATCAAGCTTGGTGAAAGGACACTGGACAAAAAACACAGTATAGAGCAGTGATGGTGAACCTTTTGAGCTCGGCATGTCAGCATTTTGAAAAAACCTAACTTAACTCTGGTGCCATGTCACATATAGAAATTTTTTGATATTTGCAACCATAGTAAAACAAAGACTTATATTTTTGATATTTATTTTATATATTTAAATGCCATTTAACAAAGAAAAATCAACCAAAAAAATGAGTTCGCGTGTCACCTCTGACACGCGTGTCATAGGTTCGCCTTCACTGGTATAGAGTATTAGCATTTTAAGGAGGTATTACAAGTGCTCAGGTGTAGCTTTCAGGCCACATCACTATCTTGTATGTTTTAAGTACCAAATACTATAACATGTTACAGATCAGTACTTGTTCCAATTAGTCCTCTTCAACAATGCAGTGGCCAAAATGGAATTATTTGCCTTTTAGTCATTTAGCAGAGGATCTATAATTATAAAAAAAAATCATCAGAGTACTGCTAGTATTTATCTAAAAAATGATTCAACTCTTTTATAATCTTTGATTTTCCAGTACCTAACCAATAATTGCAGAGGAGTGACATCAGGATTTAATAAGATGTCCTTCCAGGTTCCCAATAGATCATGTAATTTAGAACATGGATCAGTTGTCTTAAAATATCAGCCTTAGAACTGCTTGTTCTCTTTGCTCCTTTTAGCTTTCCTTTTATACCAAAAATTTTATTTTCATTAGGATGGTTAATAACAAGTAAAAGATTATGTTTTTAGCCATTTTTTCTCAATCCTCTTTCTCAAGCCATTTTTTGTTAATCCTACCTGGAGGATATTTTTCCATTGATTTTTAGAGAGAATGGAAGAGGGGCAAGAGACAGACAGAGAAATCTTGATGTGAGAGAGACACATGGATTGGTTGCCTCCTGCATGTACCCTGACCAGGACTGGGGATCAAGCCTGCAACTGAGGTACATGCCCTTGACTGGGAATCGAACCCGTGACCTTTTAGTCTGAGGGCTGATGCTCTAACCACTGAGCAAAACCGACTAGGGCTCTCAAAGCGATTTTGTTAATTCCTGAGAGGATAGATCTGTCATCCAGATTCCACTGGTAAGATTTGTCCCCAGTTATCTATGCAGAGCTTTCTACTTATATACCATCAATTACTTTTTAGGCATAATCTTCCTCCCTTTCTTTTTACTTACCCCACAGATGCTTGGTCTGAAAGCTAATCCTAATTTGACACCAATTAAGAGTCTGAAAGCTAATTCTAATTTGACACCAATTAAGAGTCTGAAAGCTAATTCTAATTTGACAATAATGTGCATGAATTCTAATAGTACCCCTGGTTCTGGATTGACAGTCAAATCCCAGCACACCACAATGAGTACAGTCCAACTGTTATGTGCTGAGATGTTCCATTTACACATCAGTCTTATATTTTGCAGCCAAGTATGTTATGTGCAGTCCTGGTGCCTTGAAATTATGTGTAGGTGGTTGTTAGATAACCTGATAGGAATAACGATGCTGTACATTCTGTGTTTCCTATTGTATATTCTTTTCTCAAAACTAAGTAAACTCAGTGCTATCTTAAAACCTCCTTGTCTTTTGAGTCAATCCAAACCTGAGACCACTGTTGGTGGCAGTACAAAAATATAATACATATATACTGTAGACAACAAGAATATTCAGGAAAGCATAAAGAAAATAATAGCAGCCCAGCTGGCGTGGCTCAATGGTTGAGCATTGACCTATGAACCAAGAGGTCACAGTTCAATTCCTAGTCAGGGCACATGCCCAGGTTGTAGGCTTGGTCCCCAGTGTGGGCCTGCAGGAGGCAGCAGCCAAGTGATTCTTTCTCATCATTGATGTTTCTATCTCTTTCTCCCTCTCCTTTCCTCTCTGAATTTAATGAATTTTTTTTTAAAAGAAAATAATAGCACCTGTAAGCCTGTCACTAAAAAATAATCACTATTAATAACTTGGTGGATTGATACTGTTCTAAAGTTTCTATAAAAATGTGTTATGTTCTCTCCTGGCTGGTGTTTCTCAGTGGCTAGAGCATCAGCCTGCGAACTGAAGGGTTGTGGGTTTGATTCCTGGTCAAGGGCACATACCTGGATTTTGGGTTTATTTCCAGCCATGATCACGGCATGTGGGAGGCAACCAATTGATGTGTCTCTCTCACATCAATGTTTCTCTCTCCCCATCTCCCTTGGTCCCTTCTACTCTCTCTCAATGGAAAAAAATATCCTCCGGTGAGGATTAACAACAAAATAAAAGTATTGTGTATTTTACAAGTTTGAGATGAGAAATTACATAGTGTTTAGGACTGTGTTATTTTCTTTTGAAAATGTATCATGGCCCAGCCAGTATGGCTCAGGGGTTGAGTGTCAACCTATGAACCAGGATGTCACAGTTCGATTCCCTGTCAGGGCATATACCCAGGTTGCAGGCTTGATCCCCAGTGTGGGACATGCAGGAGGCAGCTGATCAATGATTCTGTCTCATCATTGGTGTTTCTCTTTCTCTCCCTCTCCCTTCCTCTCTGAAATAAAGAAAAATAAAGAAAACGTATCAACATTTTCCCAAATTTCCATATATTACTGGTTTAATGATATATTCTTAGGAAAAATATGTGCACATGGCTTAAATTGTATACATTGCACCCCAGTAACAATTTTTAGTGGCTAGCAAGATATATATGCTAACTTTCAAGGTGAACAGATTCTATGTTTGGATATTTAAGCAATAATGTAAAATACACAATATAACATACAGATCATATATTGTAGAATTGTATACCTAAAACCTATGTATTTTTTTAACCAGTGTCACCCCAATAAGTTCAATAAAAAAGTTAAAAAAGCAATAATACAAAAAGTTTAAAACTAATTTTCATCTTGAATGGCATATATGCTTCAATATTCTGCCTTTATGATAAAAGGATGGTGAATTATTAAAGTGATAATGAAGTCTATGAGCGTAGTATTAAAACTTGTATTATTTATAACTGGTTTCTAGAAAATTTTAATGGAGTGGCATTGATATGTAGGTTGCTTCAGAATGGATGCTTGCAATATATTCTTTTCTCTAAGTTGACTTCTCATTCATTTGCTTTTCTTACTTTCTACAACTGTAGTGCCTATGAGATTATTAAGCTGAAGGGGTACACCTCTTGGGCTATTGGCCTATCTGTGACAAATCTGGTAGAATCCATTTTGAAAAATCTTAGGAGAGTGCATTCAGTTTCGACTATGGTTAAGGTAGGCTTAAATTGATCTTTATTATCATTAATGTTTGTTGAGTCCTTACTATGTGCCAGGCATACACAAGGTGTTGAGGATATAATGGTGAACAAAAAAGACAGAGATCCTGCCCTTATAGAAGTTAATGAAAAATGGACTTAATAAAACAATTACAAAAGAAAATACCTAATAATAAATTATACTAAGTGCTATAATGAAAAACTAAAAAGTGCTAAGAGTACACAAGAAGAGAATTTAACTACTCTGGGAAGGGGCATGGGTGGTCGTTAGGGAAGTCTTCCCAAAGAAGTAAAATGACCTAATCCAAGTAATGAGTAGGAATTAATTTGGAAGGCTGGATTAATATTCCAAGCAGAGGGAACACATGTGCAAGAGGATCTGAGGTAGATATAAGCAGAGAACACTTGAGGATCTGAAAAAAAGGGTCATCTGTTGAAATGCAGAGAGCAAAGGGAGTAATGGGAAGTGCACGGTGAAGGGAAAAGCAAGCAGAGTCAGGCCACCAAAAGGAAGAGGGTAGGCTGAGGGGGTGGCAGCAGGTCATGGTCATCACACAGGGCCAGGCTAGGCCCCAGGGGTCTAGGACCTTGTTTTCAGCCCAGAGTGGAGTGAATGTGAATACAGCCTAGAAAGGGGCCCTCAGAGAAAGACGTGTGGTTGGTCTGATGGAGCTCATGAGGTTGAATATAAAGTGGCTACCAAAATGAGGAAGCTGGACTTTAGTGGAGGAGGCGGCCAGAGAATCCCTCTGTGGGTGACTAGAGCAAGACAGGAACAAGGTGTATACCCTGAGCTCCTGAGGAGAGCCCAGAAATGGTGAGAGGGAAGCTTGGTTGAGTAGTGCCTGTGGGCTTTGAGCTATTGTGGGAAACTGGGAGGCACCACTCTAGAATCAAGGGACTTTGCCCTTCTCTGAATGCTAGTTCCTGGTAACTGTTTATAATCAGACCTGGAGGAATAACAAGACCTTTCCGTCACCTCCTCCAACCCTAGACTCAACCCCAAGGGTGGGGTAGGAAAGAGTAATGAGTGATGAGAGACAGGGAGGTCTGAGGGGTCTACTGGGTCTTCTTATCTTCCAGGGATAGTAGGGAGAGGCAGAGGCTAGTTTATGAGAATGCAAGCATTGTGTGAGTTGTGCAGGGCTGTTTTTTGAATATATTTTTATTGATTTCAGAGAGGAAAGGAGAGGGAGAGAGATAGAAACATCAATGATGAGAGAGAATCATTGATCGGTTGCCTCCTGCATGCCCCACAATGGGATTGAGCCTGCAACCCGGGCATGTTCCCTGACCAGGAATTGAACCGTGACCTCCCGGTTCATAGGTCGATGCTCAACCACTGAGCCATGCGGACCAGGCAATTTGTGCAGGTTTTAATAGACTTTCTGGCAGCTGCTTCTGTGGCCTTGGATTCAGCTGCTGGAGTGGAGGGAATATTAGGGCTGGAGACCAATGTTTCAATAGGCCCAAGATAGGGCAGTGGTCATGACTGCACCTGTGCCATGGGCCCTGTACATCATGGGAGGTTCAGGGTATCAGTCAGGTTGGGGCAGTGGGTAGAGGTATCCTGGAAGGTAGGAGTATATTCCATTGGCAACTGGTGGGTGCCCTACTAGGCATGAGAGGGTACCCATACCCATAGGTTCCATTGGAGGCTCACTTCTGGAGACTTGAGATTCCATCTGTGGCATCTTTTGTCCAAACTCAGTGGCACACCATAGTGTAAAAGTCAATTTATACAAAACAGAGCCTTCTCAGCCACTTTCTGCTTCAGAATTCACTGTTCTCTTGATGTATCTCAAACATAGGCTGCTTGATTGTACAGTTCTCTATCAGATGAAATGACATTATGAACGACTGCATGGAACCCTTACCCTTAGATAGAAGGATGACCCGGTAGGGGGTAAAGTAAACAGTGCCTTTCTTGGTCCCTTTGAGGCCTCTGGCACGATATTCATGTTACTGAACACAAGTTCCACATGGTCATAGGACATTAGGATGCTCTTGGTATTGTCAGTGATCACTTAACCACCCGCTGAGAATTCTTGTTGTGCTCCATACTCTTATTCTTAAGAAGCTCTCTAGCACAGCTGCTTTTCCATATCAGGTTAACTGAACAGTAATCTAATTTTGCCTTTTAGGGCTTATATGGAATAAAAGAAGAAATCTTTCTCAGTGTCCCTTGTATCTTGGGACAAAGTGGTATCTCAGATATTGTGAAAGTTAACTTGAATTCTGAGGAGGAGGACCTTTTTAAGAAGAGTGCAAACACACTTTGGAATATCCAAAAAGACCTGGTATTTTAAAGCCTTTTAATGTTCCACTGTTTTATAGAACAGAAGATAACAAACTGTGTATTTTACATTTTGAAAGTATTTTCATCTGATATGAAAAATATAAGAAGGCATCGGAGACCTATAGCATACTCCAGCCTCTCAAGGGTAGAAAAAGGAAGTGGTAAAGAAATTTATCCTCTTTTATGAATCTCGCATTGCTCTATTCTAAGATACCCAACTTGTACAAATGTAAGAGTGGCCTTTGGGTTTAATAAAATATATATAACAATCCATTATAATATAGAACTTAAGATTTTTTTCACAAAACAAGCACTTTTTCTAGTATTGAAATTTTATCTTGTGCTTTCTTCCCTTAGGGAAACAGCATATTCACTTTATATTGCTTCATGTGTCTATGTATAATTTTTACTGAGTGCTTATTTTTAAGACCATGTATTTCAGAAGGAAAATAGAAATATACCTTTTTGGTGTAAAAAAATTTAAATATCTTCAACCCTGCAAGTATAATACCAATTAATCTAAATTCAAATTGTGGATTTGGTGTCTTTGTTGAAATACTACACAGGGAGCTTAGACCATCACATTAGATATAAGTGAAAATTAAGCATTGTGGAAAATAAATATAAGGAAATTTGTCTTGGTTTGTGTGATTAACTGAAACTAATGTGAAACATGGAACCTCTGATTTCCAACTTTCAATTTGGAAATCGATTACATTTCTTTCCAATTTGTTCAGCAAATTACTATTATTCTTGCTGTGTTATGATAAGTCAATATGACATGATTTCTGCCCTCAAGTATCTTACAGTGAGTATTTAAGGTACATCAACTAATTAATTATTAATGAATGCTTTATAAAAGTCAATTGATAGCTCCCTCTTTGTGTCCAATCTAGGAGTGAATGTTCTTCTTTTGATTTATATATACAGATATATGTATATATGTATATGTGTATATACATATAATATGTAACATATATATTTCCTTTACTCCACAAAGAATTAAGGCAGCTGTAGGAAATACCAATGAAACAAAAGCTAAGAAATCAGGACCAAGGTGATTTACAAATTAGACTAGAGCAGTGGGAAAAGTTAGAAGGCAGCTGTGCCGGCCCTGAGGACTTGCATGGCTCTAGTGCAGGTATACCTATTTGCAAAGAGAGTCACAGTTCACCCTGTTAGTCTTGCTACTGTAATAGCTTTCATTCTAGTCATCTACTACTAAACATGATTCGTTCCCTATTATTTTGTTTTTTAATTTTTTATTGATTTCAGAGAGGGAGAAAGAGAAACATCAGTGAGAGAATTATTGATCGGCTGCCTCTTGCACACCCCCTATTGGGGATTGACCCTGCAACCCCAGGCATGTGCTCTTGACAGGAACTGGACCCAGGTCCCTTTAGTCCACAGGCCGCCACTCTACCGCTAAGGCTATTTTGTTGTTTTTTAAACACACACACACACACACACACACACACACACACACACACACACACACTCTCTCTCTCTCTCTCTCTCTCTCTCACACATACTTCCCATGAATACACAAAATATAGTAATGAGTTTAGGTAGGATCGAGGGAAAGGGGAATCTTCTGTGGATTTTGCCTTGTTTTAAAAGCTCCTCTTTGTATTCCAAATTAAAATTTCATTTTAGGAAATCCTGGCAGAGATTGAAAAGCTGTAAATAGTTTCTACAGTGAATATTCTAGGAAGTACAACTATATCATGTATTCTCAGTGGGGGCAATATCACCCTTTGGTGTGTGTGTGTGTTTAAGTGAGACTCTTAGATATTACAAGGGTTTGGCTCTGTAAAGCTCAGCACTACCAGGTAAAATCTTATTACTTAGTATTTAATTTCATGAGGTGGGAGGAACCGAATGATTAGGGGAAAATGTCTAAAAAAGCTCTTGAGGGAGAGATAATGAAAAAAAAAAGTTAAACACTGCCCTACATTTATAAAATTATTTGTCAGATATGTATTGTCTATTATGATTCACAAATGAATTAGAAAAACAGTTAATTATGTAGAATATGGCAGAAGAGATGTGGAAATCTTGGTTTATTTCAGACTAAGGGATAAGTGGGGAATTTTGGATTCTACACTCAGATAATGAATTGTTTTCCCTTCCATTTGTAGAAATGGTTATCAGCACTGCACTGATCAAATTCTTAGGGTTTCATATCTTATTTAAAAATCCTGTTGCAGGCCCTAGCCAGGTAGCTCACTTGGTAGCTCCCCATATGTTAAGGTTGCAGGCTCGATCTCTAGTCAGGGACCATATAAGAAGCAACCAGTGGCCTGACCGGCATGGCTCAGTGGTTGAGCATCGATCTATGAACCAGGAGGTCGAGGTTTGATTCCCGGTCGGGGTGTATGCCTGGGTTGTGGGCTTGATCCCCAGTGTGGAGTGTGCAGGAGACAGCTGATCAGTGAGTCTCTCTCTCATTGATGTTTCTCTCTCTCTCCCTCTCCCTTCCTCTCTAAAATCAATAAAAATTAAAAAAGAAGCAACCGGTATATTCCTAAACAAGTAGAACAAATCCATGTTTCTCTTTCAAATCAATTTTTAAAAATTAACAAAAAAATCTTCATTGCATAGAGGCTTTAAAAATTATTATTTTTTTCTACTTAAGCTCACTTTTGCGAGTGGTAAAAAGTAGTCCTGAGGGGTTGTGGGCTCGGTCCCCAGTAGGGGGCGTGCAGGAGGCAGCCGATCAATGATTCTCATCATTGATGTTTTTATTCTCTCCCTCTCCTTTCCTCTCTGAAATCAATAAAAAATGTATATATTTTTAAAAAGTAGCCCTGTGGTATCTTTCTCCTACAGCCCTGGTGAAAAATTCCCAATCAAGTGTAAAAAACCCTTATTGTATACATCTGGACAAAGTTTGGTTAGAAATAGTTGGTTGTTTTTTTTTTTTTTAAGAAAAAAACATTTTTTAAAATATATTTTATTGATTTTTTACAGAGAGGAAGGTAGAGGGATAGAGAGTTGGAAACATCGATGAGAGAGAAACATCGATCAGCTGCCTCCTGCACACCTACTGGAGATGTGCCCGCAATCAAGGTACATGCCTTTGACTGGAATCGAACCTGGGACCTTTTAGTCCGCAGGCTGACGCTCTATCCACTGAGGCAAACCAGTCAGGGTGGTTAGAAATAGTTTTACTTGGATGGGTTCTGGGGAAGCTGTATTCCTTTTGATAGCTGAGGCCCGCTAGTTCAGTGTGCCTGCTGTACCTCCTGCAGTTGGAGCCCAAGGAGCCTCTGAGCCTCTTTGAAGATCGCCAACTACAGATACCTCAGCCCACCAAATGTGCACAGGTGACAGGCATCAGAGCCCCTACCTCAGACCTCGTGCTTACGCCAGGTGTGCTAGGCCCCTATGAAGGGTGCACGAGCTGGGCACAGCTTCAGTAATCAACGGTTTTCCTCCTCGGACCTCAGCCAGCTTTTCTGCATTCTCATCCTCTGCCTCTCCAGTGAGCGGCCATACACTGGGCAGCAGAAGTCCTGTGCACCAGCAGGAGAGAGGATGCAATGGGAGCGAATTTCTTACCCTGGGTCCCTTGCGGGTGGGGGCTGGCCTTTCTCCCGTGTGAGTGTGGCTGGAGGTACCTTGTGCCTGGCTATACTTGGCCTTGGGCTATACTTGGCTCGGTTCTGGAGCTGACAACTAGGGCAGGGGGAGGACGATGGTGGAAGGGGAATAAGAGCCAACTGGCTGTAGTCTCTTTGGTGAAGCAGCCCCCTTTCCTTCCTTCATTCCCTCTTGTAATCACCTTCCTCTTCCTCTCCTTGCTTTGCCTCCTGGATGCTGGGCTGCTGGCCAGAAACTACCCAGCTTGATAGTCAACTTTGTCATTCAGTTGTGTCTGAAGCACCTCCTTCCTCACTGGCACCCAGGAGTTCTCTACAGACCAATTTTTGATGTGGATGTGACTTTGCAGTTTTCCTCTATTAGATTTCCACGATGGCGACTGCCAAGCATGAACTTAAGAATTTCACTTCAGAGAAGGCCATTCATCACAGTAAGATCCCCGTTATAGGAACTGGAGCAGTTGGTGTGGCCTGTGCAATCAGCATCTTATTAAAAGTTAAGTGCTTTGTGCCATAGCATTAATCAAGGCTTCCTCTGTTGGAGGTAAGGCTACCACATGTGGTTGTACAAGTGTGTCCAGTTCAAGGGTTGAGTGGGAGGCCTATCTGGCTTAACTCAGAGGAAGACGTGACCTTTTATTTTAAATCCTTACCCAAGGATATGTTTTTATTGACTTTAGAGAGGAAGGGAGAGAGAAACATCAATGTGTGGGAGAAGCATGGCCGGTCTCCTCTCGTATGTGCTCTGACTGGAAATAGGACGACGCTCCTAACAACTGAGCCACCCCAGTGAGAGTCAGGTGCCCTTTTTAATTGTTCCACCCAGAGTAGGCTTCTTTTTCTAGTGCTCATGATAGTATCATGTGTTAGAAGCGTCTATGTGAAAGCATGTTGACATTAGACTTTCACTCATTTGCTTGACTAAGAAATTGAGCTCACAGCCCTAGCTGGTTTGGATCAGTGGATAGAGCATCAGCCTACGGACCAAAGGGTCCTGGGTTCGATTCTGGTCATGTGCCTTATATATTCTTAAGTAGTGATGTCTGTCTTACTGCTGAGCCTAACCCAGTGTCTGCCATCTAGTAGGCACTCACTGTTGACTGACAATATGTGCTTTTAAACTGATGCTACATAGACTTTACTGTTAGTGGTAAAATTGATTTAATATTAATTTCTGGATCTCTGCGCTTTACCTTAAATAACCAACCCTTCTAAGAAATTTCTAGGAGTAAACTGCCTACTCCCTAAATATCTTGAAAACATCTCAGAATTAGGACATTCATTTTTTTATAACCTCATGAGCCTTCTGTTCTACTAGATGAGCTCTGCAGGACAGTACAGTTCATTTGGTGGTCCCAAACAGAACCACTTGCCAGGAAGGCGGACTTCAAATGACAATAGAAGAGTAGTTCATTGCCCTAGCTGGTTTGACGCAGTAGACAGAGCTGGCCTGCAGACTGAAGGGTCCTGGGTTTGATTCTGCTCAAGGGCACATATTGGTTTCAGGCTCGATCCCTGGCAACCAATCGATGTCTCCCCCCTCCACTCTGTCTAAAAATAAATGGGAAAATATCCTTGGGTGAGGATTAACAACAAAAGAGTAGTTCATCACACCTTCTTCCTCAGTTGTGGCCAGACCACCTTGCCTAGTTAACGTGAGTTCTTAGGTGTAGAGGTTGGCCACTTTCTTCTTGATGAAAAGTTATGGGTTCGTCAGGCCTAGAGAGGAAGCAAATCTAAGTAGGGACTGATTGGCAGGAGGGTATCATGCAGGACTTCTTAAGGTTTCATGGACTTTTCCTAAAAATGTTCAATAAAGAAGAGAACAGTTATGCAACAAATTTTATTTAGCATAGT